CAATCGGCCAGGGCTTGAAGAATCCAAATGAGAAAAATAGAGCCCGAGTACTTATTGAGTATTCGTCATGTATGGAATGATTAGGACTTATATGACATAAGTCTGTATCCTAACACATGACTATTGCATGACATGTACATTTTCATTTCGTACGGGAAGCCACTCTTCCAAATGCATTATCCTAGTTTTGGAAGAGCCAGTGCACATGTGCTTTGAGAGGACCTTTGTAATTGAGTTGGATCATGTCCCACATGGGTACATATGTAATCTATTGAGAGCCGAATGATCAGACGTTCTTGCTCAACTGCTTTTATATGACTAATTATGTGTCTCTGCTTTAGACTATGGAACGTAGGTCTATTGGGTCGATCTGAGACTTGACGGAACATCATTCGGGACTAACCCAATGGAGTACTCCGATACCTATAGTTATTAGCCTGAGATCTCATTATACATTTTATCCTATTTTATAATGATGAGAAAAACCTAATAAATATTCAAAAATATTTTAAATATTTATTGTGAATTTTAGAGATTTTTTCAAAATTTTATTTGATAAAAAAAATGAGGGTTTTCATATTGTTTGGCTCAAATTCCACTTTAGTCCTGACTTAGTAGTGCCATATGGCGTGCGAGTGGCCATAGGGCTACTACATAGCACTCCGCACCTCACTCTAGGATCATCACCCAGATGGGCACTGATCCTTACGTGGGGGACTAAATTGGTATTTGGTTGCTTGTTTTATAAGGGGTTGTGTTATAGTGTCTTGTTCTATATTGTTATATTTTATTATATAATGTTATAAATTAAGGCCCCATTTTTATCACACGTCTTAATTAACACATACATGGGTCATGCATGGTATGTGTGAAGTTTAATTAATTTATTTATTTGATATTAAAGAGAAAATGTATTTTCAAATTTGAGTGGAAAAATAGTTTCACACACATGTATGAAGGGGACATTATTTTTAAATTGATTGGTTTGAAATTCTTGATCTACAAAGTGATTGACTTTGATAGAGTAGAACAACTACACGTATATGAGCTGTGTCAATTACTTATTTGCCTTTTAGCCATTGTGGTTATCTACTCTAATACATTATTAGAAAAAACTAAGGGTATTTTTGTAAGGCCATATTTGATACAATTGGAAGAAAAACATGGGCCAAGGAAAAAATGGTAAAGTGGCATAACTTAGGGTTACGGTGAGTGATAATTGTGTGAAATCTCATCCTTTCATCCTAGTAGTTCGATGGGGATGTGTGGCTAGGTACATTAGCCTCTCATGTGCCTTTGGATTAGTGCATCAAGGATGTTAATTGAATCCAAAGTTACACCCATGTTATAAAAGCACATCATGAGATCTCAAACCCTAACTATCTCAACTCTTGAACCACTTTGGAAAATTGTTACTCCCCTCCTTCTTCTAAGGTTCTGTGAGAGAAAATTGAAGAGAGAGACAACTTTTAGAGTTTTATTAATGGTGATCTTGATGGTGGTTCTCCTTTCTTATGCTTAAGTCCATAGTGTGCATGTATCAAGGTAAACTTCATTGAATTTTCTTTTCTCATAAGATCACATCCTTTGCATCTATAGTTGCTGGAATTTTTAATTTAGAAAAGTTTTATTGATCTTAGAATCCTCATTTGATCATCTTTTTCATCATGCTTATTCATAGTGTGGTCCTTCATGAGTTATAGTCTACATGCATGAGAATCCATGATCATGCATAATATCCATTAATTACTTTGCTTCAAACCCATCAAATAATTTACTATCAGAGTGTCACTCCATTTTCAGAACTTTTTCATTACGTTTTTACTTGTGGGGGTTCATAATCTTTCCATACAAGACTGTTTTGGTGGTCCGAGGGACCACTGTGTATATAGCCTACATGCATGAGAATCCATGATCATGCATAGTATCTATTAATTACTTTACTTCAAACCCATCAAATAGTTTAGTATCAGAGTTTCACTCCATTTTCAGAACTTTTTCATCACGTTTTTACCTGTGGGGATTCATAATTTTTCCATACAAGACTGTTTTGGTGGTCCGAGGGACCACTGTGTGTAGTTTGGCCATAACTCTCTTGTTCTTTATCCGATTCGATTCAAACCTTTTTCATTCTGTTTTGGATGATAATGCCAGTGTGTTGAGATCTTAAGAAGTAATTTTAAGGTGTGTAACTTATTCTCATTTGGATTAGACACTCTTGTGAGATTGAACCCCTTTTATACAATCCGAAGGGACAAAATTAAGTCCTTATAGAGCCCGATTGCATGGCCCCGATACAAGGGGTTCAAAACATGGCTTCCCTGTTTTAATTTGGCATTCTAATTCTCTGTTTAGTTGATTTTATTATTTAGAATTTTGTTTATATTATTTGCATGATATATTTAAGCTTTGAGACATAGTTTATGTAATTTGTGCTATGAAAGTGTAATTTATAAGTTAGTCTTACTTTGTATGTAATTGCCGTATAAGGGGTTGGTATTTGAGTTTATTTACAGTGGTTATACAAGGCTAGAAATGGTTGTAATTGTTATGTAAAAGGATTGTAACTTATTTACTTAGCTTGATTTTTAACAAGTGGCTTGTTGAAGGTGTCCATTTTGCCTTTTTTTTTTGACTTAAAAATTTGCTCTAGTCTTTGTATCCACTTTCAAATATGAATAACTAGAAAACTTTCCCTTGTTCAATATTACATCCCTAGGCCATCGCGACTGAGGGTAGGCTGGGCTGGTTTAGAGTCAGGGTTATAATAGGCGGAGCACGACCCGGCCCTTCACTTTTTTCCATTATGTATTCCTTTTCTTCTTTTTTTTAATTCGTTTTAGCCGTGCCCAACCTGGCCGGGCTAGGGCTAGGGCCAGGGCATCTTTGACCAGATTAGCACATGGCTTGGGGACTCAGGGGGGGGCCTGGGCTGTGCCAGCAGGCTAAGAGTGATTCAATTTCTTTGTTCTATTGTCATTAATTACTGATCGCAGGTTAATTAATACCAAGGTTAATGTTTGCAGTGAAGAACCTTCAGGATGCTTATGTTATTTAATTATTGTAAAACATTGATTAAAGTAGGTGTTATTTGACAAAACGACGATTAGGGAAACCCGACAATTTGAATATGATCGCAAGAGGACTTAGGAAATCTTACTAAGGCCCAAATTTGTCATTTATGAAATGTCCAAGTCCTGACACAACAATTTTCTTTTTCCATAGACAAGAGAGTAACAAATCACCCAACAAGCTTTAAAATTTACTAAAAAACCCTTACAGCCCTAAAAAAGGCGCATGCAATGAGAGACCTATTTCTGATATTTGGTTACCTATCAAAAGTATATATATAGCTGCATGGGTTAGGCTTAATAATTTTATAATGGTGAAACTTGTAAGATCACATTCACGGTATCTGATTCAATGGATGGCAATACATTTGTTTGTCGACTGGCATGAGGATTCACCATATCTGACTTCAATGGATGGCGACACATTTGTTTATCGACTGGCATGAGGCATCTTCAAAAACTCGTACATAACTCAGGAGGAAGTATTCATAGAGAGAGAGAGTGAGAGCTTGTTAGAACTTAGAGAGAGAGAGAGAGAGAGAGAGAG